AGCCGTTTTTCTCAGCAATGAAAAACAGAAAACAGCCACGCATATTTTTAAAGCTGAGCAAGACATTTTCTAACACTGAAAGTTTTTCCGACTTTGAAGATCATTCGAGTTTTTTGAAGTTTTTGACGCCAAAATTTTTCAAGAAGTTTCAGCCTTCAAACATGTTTCATTTCAGAGATATGGAATGTTTCATTTTTTCAACTATTTCTAATACCTATCTGTGAAAGAAACTACAATCATTTTTGTGTGTCACTACGGGGAAATACCTGTCATTATAGAACTTTCTGCGAAATATTTTGTAACACGTGTTTTCTATCTCATAATGTACGAATAATTTAAACCGTTTACTTTCCTCCTTCAAGAGATGTCGTATGCGCTGATTCTTCGGCCGACTTTTCTGTTAATACTGATTAATCGCATTTCCAGAAAAAGATGACGTGTATTTGCGATCTGCTGAAAAGCGAGGAGTGTCATGAAATCCAGATTTTTAAAATCCGGATCTTTTAAGTTCGGGAAGACCTTTTATCCGGAAATCCTACTCGCCCGTGTAACTCCACCCGGATATAATTTCATCCGGATGTAAAAGTCCGTAAAATTTCCGGATAAATTTCCCTCGACTAACTCCGGCAAAAAATATTCTATATGAGTTTTCTCACTTGTTATAAAAAGCAATGAAAGTCCGATTGTTAATCAGTTGTATATTAGTCATTCCAAATGTACTTTAATAATGGAACTACTAGTATTACTATTATACTCTATGACATGCGGACGTGCATTGTTTTTTATTAAAAGTGACAAACTCATCTAGAATTTTTCTCCCGGACTTGAGAGGTTTTTTAAGAACCGGAATTGATCGAGGAAATTCATCCAGAAATAAATCATCCGGATTCCAACATGTCCGGCAAATGATTCATCCGGACATGTTGGATTCTGGATGAATAGTTTTCGGATGAGTTAAAAAAAGGATTTTAATAATCCGGATTTCATGACACTTCCTCTTAATGAACAGAGGGGACCAACGGAGCTGACAACGGATGAAACGGTGTCACAATTATCAGTCATCCAAACCAGTTCTATTATTAATCTAGATGATGATAAAAATTGCGAAGTATCATTCGAAAATATCATGATTTTATCATCTGAGCATTTTATCCAAGATGAATTGGAAAACGACGACGAAGTTGTACAGAAATCGACAGAACCTGTTAACGTCGTCATTGACGAAAATGAAGAGAAAAAGCTTAGTTATTTTGAGCGCTCAATGCTTAATTATCAACGGTTAATTTGGGATAAAGTGAGTGACTTTTTCATTTTTAACTGTTATATGACATTTAAATACTTTACTTTAGTTAGAAAATGTAACTACCACCCTAGTGAATG